TACTTTTCTACCAAGATATAAAAAAACCTTTAGATATTCAATATATATATATAATGGTATACATTATAAAACTGCATTAATTTCTTTTTCTTATATATTTTTTTATGAATAAAAAGGTATAAATAATTAATGATTTAAGTTGGGTAGAAATTAACGGTAATCACTTACGTGAAATTTTTCTAATTTAAGTTTTCTTGCCTGATATTGATTTTTGAAGCATTTGTAGAAACGAGAAGGGTTAATGCTCTGTCTATTGGATAATTATATAGCTTAAATGTACATAATGTGAATATAGGATACAGCTTCTTTTGACGAATAATAATAAACAATTATTTTAAAAAGGTGGAAAAACTTATTCATTATTAATCTTTTCATAAAGTTAACTGAAATTGCTATAAATTAAAATGCATGCTAAGTTATCATTTGATAAAAATGATGATAACTATTTGAGCCATTTCCAGAATTTTCTTAACCGTTTAACAATAATTCATGAAGAAAATTTAAATACAAAAATGTAGTATCGGAAATAGATAATTAACGCTATGTCGTGCTGTGTAGGTAATTTCGACAATTATAGGTTGTCTTGAACCCTAAGTCGCAAATAAACGCTAAAAATAAATAAAATAGTGTTTCTCACCTTTGTATTGTCCTCGTCTACACTTATCGTCAAATTACCCAAAGCATATATTAATTCTACTAGTTCTTCCCCTATCAATCACTTTGAGCTTGAAAAAGTTAGCACCATTGCTTGGAGTGGTCGAAATTCACTTTTGTAAACAATACTATGACGTAGTGTCGGCCATCATTTTTTTTTAATTGTTGCTGTTGTCGGCCATCATTCTTTTTTAATTGTTGCTGTTGTCGGCCATCATTCTTTTTAATTGTTGCTGTTGTCGGCCATCATTCTTTTTCAATTGTTGTTGCATTGTCACTGATTTCGGCCATTATGTTTTTTTAATAGATGTATAGTAATCAATGATTAAAATTTAAAGAAATTGTTTGTAAATAGGTATGCAACACATCGAACACTAGCATAAGAAATGATTGATATAGACTTTCATTTACGTAATACTACTTTGCCTTATGCTGACAGTACTAATTTCTTTTATAAACAAAATTAACAAATTTCAACAAAAGTCATAACTATAGAGTAATCAAAAAGCGGTACATATTAATCCAAATGATTACATACCAGTAGTTTGAGGGGTGGCAATGTAATAAGCATTTCATCAGATGCCAGATAGGGACTTAAAAAAGGATCTTCAGGTACTTCGAATTTTAATTCATCGACGATACTTTTCTCTTTGTCCGCATGTATAACATCTTCAGGAATATTTTGAACCGTACCAGGAATCCAACTGCCCACGTGTTCTTTTAAATTGCTCACAAATCCTGTGAGAGAACGTTGAATAAACGAATAACTATTCGAAATTGAATCTTGGTACTGGTTAATTTTACTTCTCGAACCGTTTGATTCCGCTTCTATTATAGAAGAAAAGACGGGTAGTTTTCAAATTAACTAGACGTTTGATTTTTGAATTGGATTAAAATAATAATTTAGTTTTTTATGAAATAATTATAGAATCAAAATAATTTACCATATAATACATTTTCGTCGATATTATTGTCTTCTAATCCTTCAACATTTTGAAATTCATTTCCACCCTCCAAAGACTGAGATTCGAAGGACTCATTTGACAAGGTATCAGAAATTTCTGAAGTTGGTGATTTGTGAGCTTGAAGGTCCGCCAGGTCCGAATGAGTTATCTCCTCAAAACTACTCATGTCAGAATCGTTACTGGAACTGCTTTTTTCTGTACCTGCATAAGCTGTAGAACACAATTATAAAAAAGGATCACTAATGTTTTCAGAAAATTATTCATAATTGCTTAGTTTGGGTTGTTGAAGTCAACTGAGATAAAAGATATATTGCAACAGAAAGTACAAAAGAAGCAAAAAAAGTAACACAAACTTAATTTATAAGTAGAAGCATTAATAATTTTGCGATCTACCGTTCAATATTTACGAAAATATTTAAATGGAAATTCAACTTAATCTAGATTAAAATATTGTACCTTTGCAACATTTAAAAATAAGGAAAAAACACACTGAGAAGGTGTACATAAAACAAATAATGGAATATACCCCTTTAAGCAATTAGCTGAATACAAATAAATATTATACCTTTGAATATTTAAACATCAGGAAAAAATACACTGAGAAAGAGTATATAAAATAAACAATGTAATGTAGTTTTTTAGGCATTCACAAAATACTAACCTTTTAGGCATCGCATCATAAAACCAAAGGGAAGTAACGGGTCCATTAGACAGAGAAGTCGGGCCGGAGAAGGTACAAAATTGATGAGAGTTGGAACATACGCCAAAAACAGGCCTTTAGGAGGTGGAACATTCATAGTTGCACACTTTAGGCAGGTTCCTAGTAGAAGATTAGCTCCAGCTGAATCTCCGGCTGCGATAATTGTTTCACCTTAGAGAAAGAGACATTTTTATTGTATATGTACCTGTGACTTAAGAAAATTGTCATTAAGATTTTCTTTAACAGGATTACAATTTATAAATTTAAAAAGTTAAAAGAACATCAGTTATTACCTGTACTTCCAAGAAGATGACAATTTTTTAGGGCCCAACAATAAGCATAGGTGATTTCTTCTATGGCTCTAGGATAGGGTGCTTGTGGTGCCAAACTATAATCAACGCTCAAGATAGGAACGTTCAAATCTCTGGCCCATAATCGTAAATAAATTTCATGTGATTTTGATGACTGGGCAACAAAACCGCCACCGTGGCAATGAAAAAGCAGCCCTATAAATTTTAATTTATAAAATTATACCTTACAAGTATATAAATGCATTTCGCAAAAAAATAGAAAGTTAAATCCTGACTCAATAAGTGTGTCACCTTTAGAGGGTGGTAAATTTGTTTTTTTACTTGCTTCTCCAACCATTCCTTCTCTTACATTACTTGATATTAGGCGTACCTGTATGGTTTTTTTTCCTAAAAAATATTAACTTAATCAAACCAAATATCAACCAACTTTTAAAGTGAAATTGCAGTATGTTACTTTTATTTTATGAAGCACATAGTACTTTTTATTAGACTGGTTGCAAATAAACATTACCAATATGTGATTCTGGAATAGGAATATCTATATCTTGCCCATTAATAGTGAGTGTGAGAGGTTTTGGCGGAATGAGAAGGATTTTTGTGACTGCAACATACGCATGTGCCCTAATTACAGAAGGCAAATTATGCATTAGTTCACTCTCAGAGAGAAACCAAAAAGATTTGCAAAAGTCTATGTTAGCTGTTTGAGAAACATTTACAATAGTTTTAGCCCTTTGTTCTGGGTCCGTTAAATAAGTGGCTGTCGATATTACTGAATTCGTTGCCTTTGTAAAATAAGATCCTACAATGTGTATCTTATAAAATTATATACTTATAAACTTAATTGGCATACCACTACTAAAATAGGCCTCTGAGAATACAGCCATTGCAAATGCAACCATCTGTAAAGTAGGCTTAATTGATTCACAAAACTGAAATAAAAATAAATTAAAACGCAATAGTTTATGCTGGAAAACATAAACATATTACCTGAAAACCTAAACATCTCCCATAAAAGCAATACCTATTAATGGTTTCAGTTTTTAAAATAATTTCTTCAGGAGATCGTTTCTCTTTGGGAAATAATTCGGTTTCAGAACTCCACTCTAATAATGTTGTTAACAAAATGAGGCAGTTATTTAAACTAGCTAACAAATGAGCACATGCTTCAACATCTCTGAAAATACAAATAAAAATTTTAATTATATAAAGATACATCTCAATAAGAGTTTCTCTGTACTTCGTTATCACAGCTTTACGAAATAGGACGCCGTCACGCTTTAAAGAAACTTTTTTAATGACTTGCAATGAGTGAGCTATGGCATAGTCAACAACTTTTAAGAAACTTCTGTAACCATTTGCAGGTGTATTTTCATCATAATCGAAATTGTGGACAACCGATTCAATTTTCTTTCTAGTAATAGCTAGCGAGTTAAGATTATCAGCAATTGTAAGAAAACTTGTATACAAACGCTGGCCATTTTCAGTATTATCATTTACGAAGTAATCAGAATTGCTTTTACAAAGATCATTTAAAGTTGAAGAGTTTGTATTATCATCTTCGCTTTCTTCTGATTTGCGTTGAGGAAAACTTTCAGCATCTGTCATTTTAAATTAAATGTGCCAAATGATTTAATTCAACGAAATAAACATTCACATTACTTGAATTTTGGAATGGTTTGGGATAGTATTTTCAAACCGCTTTCTTTTTTGACGTTTACAGTATAGGTTATGTAAGTGCAAGAAAAATATTTATGACCTAAATTTATTCCCAAATACCAACATCAAGAATAGTTTCTAGTAGAATTCCACAGTATTCATCGATGTACTCATTCTGCTTATTTCTGTAAAATAAAGACACGAAGGAGACTTTTAGATAATACTAACTAACTTTGAATGTCTTAAGCAAATATTTTGATAATTACAATATATTATTATAAAACAGTTTTATGTTGCAAGTATATGTTACGTAACATTTATTGGAAGGTAAAGGAATACACCCTAATTCATTTCAAAACAGCTGTTTAGCAAGGGACGCAAGCGTGGTATTCGGTTTGAAAGTGAAGCATGGCAGCTGCAATGCAGGGTTGTGTTAAAACTTAAAAAATAATTTATGTGTATTAAATTATAGTGTTTTTATAAGAACTGTTTTGGAGACTGACATAATTGCATGTGTGGTTTCCTTGTAGTAAATGTTAAAAAACAACGTGCTAATTATGTAAGTAATAATTAACAAAATTTGTTTATAATTTGAAAAATTATTGTTTACTCATTTGTATACTAACGATAACGAAAAACTTATAAAGAGGGATGGGATGATTAATTGTTTTCGAAGAAAACGGCATTGAATTACAAACTTCTCTGATGGTTATTATTGACCCAGATTTTTAGATTAGGTATAAAGATTTATATTAGGTGCAGAAATATTAATATTATGAATTATAAGATTATTAACTAATTATTACAATTTGAGGTAATGTATGTAAAAGGCAGTATTTACAAAAAACATAAATTGTTTGTTAAATATGCTTATTTTGCAGATTAAATTATCTCTATTATTTAATTGATGACGTTTGTTCCTTTTTGCTATGATTATCCCTTCATGAATAAAATTACTTGGCAAATTTACTTGACAAACAATGATAAAATTCCCTTGAATTCATTTTTATTAGATAAATTGGTAATTAGTGTTTATTTACATTAGAAACACAATCAACCCGAAAAAAATTGCGCAAAATATTCCACAGGACCGTACCATTTTTCGTAAAAACATAAATATAGATATTAAACAAAACATTGAGTGACGATAAAAGATATTTAAATATTGTTATAACTTGCAGTATTGGCCCCCATATTGAACAATGCTGCCATTTAAACGAAACTTTCTTTTCTATATTTTCAAACACTGCATAGAAATCAAATTTAGATGTTGCAGACAATGTTGTATTAAAATAGGGAATAATTTTTGCTTGAAAACTTTTTCGATTAAGCTTATAGTTTGACCCAACGAGAATATGGCGTACTTTTTTGGCTGCCCTGTATATGTGTATATGTATGAGCTTTTTTTAATGAAAGTAGTTGTGATTCTTTTTCTTCGCTAGGAGTAATGCTATTCCACTCCTCTACCATGGGGCTAAATTTCATCATTTTCCAGATTTCTTCCTTTCTCTTAAATTTTAGTTCTCTGCTTTATGGAAACATTTTTGATGTCATACATTTGATGTGCAGATGTTTTCTGTACTACTTGCAGCTTATTACCCAATCGTAGTTGACAGAGAAATTTAATGGTTCGTCTTGCAAGCCATGGAAGGTATATTGTGGTATCTGCGGAAATTGTTGGAAGATACTATTACCATTACTGTTCTCAAACCTATTGGTCGAGTCCCCGAGTGGAAAATATAATTTTTTATAGAAGTCGTGATCGGTACCGCATTCTGTCCCTCTTTTAACTCTTACATGCTTCATCCATGGTCTTGACTTTTGTTTTATAATGAAGAAGTCTATAACAGTCTTAATGACAATATTACTCAAGTGGTATTGGTATCAGTGTCCTATTAATCTGTCACCAATATCATTTACAGCATCTTCCCCGTAATGGACGACCACACGACTTCTGTCTACCCTTTCAGGTCTGCCATTAAAGTCGCCCATAAATATAATTTCCTTGCGATTACCAATAGAGCCTAGTAACATTGTCAAATCTTCATAGATCTTATCTTTGATGTGAATTCCTGCATCTTCATTTAGTACATACACCCTAATGAGGTCAAGTTTGTGTTTCAACGTCCTTTTCTGTTGCTGTGCTTGTCTGATTCGATCCGTCCTGTTTCCTAGAGATAAATTGCCAGCCCATCAGCTTAACAACCAACCTGGAGTGCCGGGTTATTTTTGAACGAAATTTTCTTCTGCTATTACCTTTGGCGGGCTAACGCCCAACTACAAGGCAGAACATTTTCCTGCTGATCCGCGGAAGGTATTTCATTTCCCTCCTACCACCCATATCTAGGAGGCAATCTCCTATCTGCCATCTGGGGACGTGCCTTCTAAAAGTGAAGACCACCCTAAGGGATTTTATAATTAAAGGGAAAATTTATAATGTAAAATCTCTAGACTAGAATTTCGAGTTTTTGAGTAAAACAAATGGAGAAATTCGAGTCAGACAGCTTGGAGTAAATAAAGGATACCAAGGGAACAAAAAAATATTCGAGTTAAACAAGAAGTTCGATTGTATAAATAATGAATTTTTATTTAGAACAAGTAGTTCTCGATTGAACTTCAGTCAATATGCTGTGAGGGAATTGTTTTTAATTTCTTAAAATATTAGAAAAAGTTGTTTTTGCTTTTATTTTACATTTTTCTGTCGTGTTTGCGTTTTTTTTTGCAATTTCGAAATCTGTCGTAAATGAGTTAGAACTAGTAGTCAAGTATCCGATGACGCACCGTAAATTTCGTTTTCCTTCCAGCAATATTTCTTTAACTACACATAATTCCTTCGCTTTCCGTTCCAGTGGCTTTATGTGGGTTCCTGTTTATCCCCCATTTATTTCTAAGACGTTTCCATACCACTACTCCTGCCTGAAATAAGCTCCTGCCCACCGTCTTTGTTTATCTTTCTTCCAATTTCACAGAAAGCACTCCCAAAATGCTCTAGTTTTTCTTTTCTGTGCCTTTACTGACTAACAAATGCAATTTGCTATATATTTTAAAGCCAACGACTCCCTCATATCGTGATGTGATGTGTTGAAATGAAATTTACCAATATCTAATTTTAATTAGTAGTTTTTTTTTATATATATAAATGTAGCATAATTAAAAAATAAATCAATTGATTGTTTGGCGAGATAATTGTGAAAGATGGTAATAACAAATCAAAGAGACTCAAATTTGCTTTTTACATCTGTATTTTAGAAAAAATTCTAACAATATTATTTCTACCTTTACAATATTAAAATGAAATGGCGCAAAGAATTACAGTGTTGTGCAAATTAGTCTAAAATTAATTTTTCGTACTGTTTATACCTAATGTTGTTTGGGCTCGTATTTAAATTTATGCTGTTTTTATTTTAAAGAAGATGCAATCATGATATAAATGCCTATACTTGGAACATTTTGACTTCATACAAGTCTATTCTTATTTCTACAATAGCTGTGCTATCAAAGGCTGTAGGGGGCCAGGCATGGATAGAGCACCTCCAAGGTAAATTGAAACATTGCACACCTGAATTTTGCATCGATAGCAATTACTTAACACAATCTGTGCTGTAGCAACCTATCCATCTGTATTTACAGTTTTTATATTGACTACAAACGTTTGTACTTATCGAAGTTCGAAATTCAAATTAGCTGAAAAGTTTTCAAAACTCAAATGAGTGTCAGTAATGACAGTGTAAACATTCCCTAGTTATATTCACCCTCAAATGGGACAGGGAACTTGGCTGCATTGGAAATAACCATCAGTGTATGCATCTCGTTAGATTCCGATAAATTTATGAAAATGGAACTACGTAGCACAGTTACAGGGGGCTACAGCTAAACCACAAAACTAAGCATCAGTTGCTAACCGTATTACGGAAAATGTCCTCCATGTACAAAGAGCAATATCCGTCACACCGAACATATTGTTATGGGAACAAATACCGCCGGGATTTTCCTGCGCTTGTTCCCTTCCTGACGATGTCCTTTTAAAACGGGAGTGGCGGGCACCCTTCCGACACACAGTCGCGCTTTTCACGAGGAATTACGTACTTTCTAAATTAATTTATTCGGTAAAACCAAAATTTCAACAGTTGCACTACCACAAACAGAAGGGTTGACGATGGGGTCGGAAGAAGCAACAGCAACGATTTTTTTGAAAATTTACTGACGTTAGTATTATAAAAATAAATAAAATTAATTATTTAATTTATGCTGTTCTTGGAACATTTACTGTGTAAAACACTTTAATATTAAATAGTAATGCGAGTACTAAGACACACTTTGGGAATATTTTGCACTAAGGGAACAAAGTACGGCATTCTCTCCCAGGTGTGAATTATCAAGCTAGCCGATGGTCGGGGCGGCAAACTCCTAGGAAGGGGTACTGTACTTTCTTTCCGATACAATTTTTTACCAAACTTCTGGCTCGTAAGTACAATTTTTCCGATTTTATGGACCAGAAAGTGGAGCATAACCTCCCACGTAAGAAATCCTATTTACTGTTTTTTAACGTAGATGAAGGTCTTGTGCATTGAAAGTTCTGGCCAATGGTCTGTCCCCCTCTGAATATTAATTTAACCTGATGTAAGGTAAAATTAAAATCCGCAAGCGTTTAATTTCCAAATACCATCAACCAGTTGTTTAATTCGAAATTATGCGGCGTTTTTGTTTATAATGGTGTAAAAGTGTCTACTACTTTGTACTTTTAACGTAGAACATGATTGCTAAACTGCTTACCCAAGAGTATTTTACTTTCTGGTCAAAAGGGCGGTATAAAGATTCATAAGCAGTAGCGTACGTACGCCTAGGTACGTGACATACTAATATGAAGAAACCCAAAGTGTTTTGGGTTGTATGAAAATTAATTAATTTTTTACCTGGGACGGAATGCTTCGCTTTTTTTTCAAAAGACAAAATTAAATTTTACAATGCTATTTACCTCTATTTATATTATTTATATTCATTCTAAATCTGCAGATTGGGGAATGCAGTAAGGGTAAGTTATTGGTCTCTAGTTGTATTTTATTGTTGACTTTGTTAATATTATTTCTTTGGATTTTTTTGAAAGTTGAATGTTTCGAATAAGCATTTTAATTATATTACATAATTGATTGAATTTTCCGAAGTTTGATAGTTATTAGGCAATTTTCGAAGATGCTTGTGTTGTGTAAAGATGTTTTTAAGGGGTGTGTTCCGAAATATAACCCGGTATACTGGCCAGTGCTAATGACGTCGTGAATCGACGCCATACTGTTGATTCGTTCCGAAATATACTGGCCAGTGCGTTGATGTCTAATTGACGCCATATTGAGAATAGTGTTTGTGCTCGTTTACAACAATTTTGCTCCAAAAGTTATTATCGTTTATTACAATAAAAAATTGTACAAACTCTGAAGCACACACGCCCGTTTGATATACTGTTACGTCACACTTGTTTCACCAGTACAATATGGTGGCACACCAGTACAATATGGCGTCGATTCATGACGTCATCAGCACTGACCAGTATGCTGGGTTATATTT